CCACAAAAATCATCAAAAATCCACTATAAAATGACCCTGCCCATCCCGAAAAACCACTATACACTGGGGTTCCTGGCAATCCCCTGGCGCAATCTGGCACACATACCCACTATATCCCAACCCCCAAAACCACCATACACTGGGGTTCCTGGCAATCCCCTGGCACAATCTGGCCCCAAAACCACCATAGGTGGCGTTTGGCTGGAAGCCACTGAGAGTACTGGGATGTACTGGTGCCCCTGGGCCTCTTGATGTCTCTTGGTAGAAGGATGTAGAAGGGCTGGCACTTGGGAGTGGCCTTAGCAAACCCTTAGCACAAGTACCCACAAAAATCCACTATAAAATGACCCTGCCCATCCCCCAAAACCACCATACACTGGGGTTCCTGGCAATCCCCTGGCACAATCTGGCACACATACCCACTATAAAATGACCCTGCCCAACCCCCAAAACCACCATAGGTGGCTTTTGGCTGGAAGCCACTGAGAGTACTGGGATTCCTGGGTCTCTTGGTAGACAGGCTGGCGCTTTGTAGTGCCCTCAGTAACCCAATGTAACCCTTAGCACATGTACCTACAAAAATTCACAATAAAATGACCCTGCCCAACCCCAAGCTGGACGATGCTGAAGCGAGCTCAATGGCTCTGAAGGAGAAGCATATTAAAAGAAGTTGTCACCATACCCACACGGCCCCAAGCATGTTGCACTGTTGACGCATCTGGAAGAAGGATGAGGATGAGGATGATGAGGAGAAGATAGGAGAAGGTAGGAGAGGATGGAGCACGCGTGGCGCTTGCATGAGACGGCCTTGGCAACCCTTAGCACATGTACCCACGATACACTGGGGTTCCTGGCAACCCCTCAGCATCCCTCAGCACACTTCCACTATAAAGTGACCCTGCCCAACCACCAAAGCCACCATACACTTAGGTTTTTGATCTGTATACTTACATTTAGATTGTATAATATTCTATAGGACGTTGAGGGGTGTGCTCAAGTCATTTTATAAGAGATAATGTTCTATTATGAGTATTGTTTTTGGGTCACGTTGGTCTGGGATGACGTAAATAGCATTAAATAGCTGCGGAGTTGCGTGGAATAAGCCGGCAATGCGTTGGGCTCATTGGAGCGTGCAAAAGCTTTAGATTACGCTTATAATACATCTTATAATAGACTATCTGATACTATATGTGATACTGAGTTTGCAATGTGGTTGGTCTTTGGAACAGGTGATGACCAGGGAGCCCGGAATGCGGCAGCGCATTCCAGTGCGATGTACGTTGTGCACGTCTCTGAGACAGAAGGCTGGAAAAATCTTTGACATGGTGACCACCAAGCCTGCGCAAGCAACCTTTTTCCTTCGCCAACATGCGGAAAGCCAGTTGCACATGCGACTCATTGCTGAGAGGCAGGCTGCCACAGTCAAAGCAAATCTTCCGGCTGGATTGGAGAAAGCGTGCCAAGGCATGGCTCTGCATGATGAGACCATTGGCCCCATGCACCACTATGGCCACCACATGCGTTTGTGGTTGGCATGGAGAAGCGTGTGTCCTGAGATCCAAAAACACACATACACATATGTGGAACGGGCAGATGGGTATGAACTGAGGCATTCTGACTGCCTACAGGTGTGTTCACCCATCGTGGGCAGACGAGATATGTGCCAGAAGTGTGCTTCGTTAGACTTGCGGAGGGCCGTGGTCAAATGCGTCTTGAAGAAATTTGCAGCGCAGGTCTTGTTTGCAAAACTCTTCGAGACGAACGCGCAGCTTCAGTCCATCATTGTGAACATGAAGGATGACATTGTTTACCAAAGACATGGTCGCCAAGTTGACAAACTGCTGGGGCTCCAGGTGCATGAACTCCAACAATGGGTCCGCTCCAGTTTCTTGTCCATCCGCAGTGACAAGAGAAACACGGTTTTGCAAGCCTTCATGAGTTCTGTCATCGAACCATGTTTGCAAACCAATGTCACGGCCGCTCTCGACCACAAACCACAGCTATTGCAAGTGCAAAGCCACTTCGAGCGTTTCCTGACCAATCCGGATGCGGAGGAGATGGATCGTGTGAATGTGGCTGTGGCGCAAGCTAGTCTGACAGGACGCCTGCAAAACCATCCGCTGATTCAAGGTCTCATTCTGACGTGCTTGCGGGTGATAGAGCGTCAGGAATCTGGAGTTTCTGGCACCAAGGGTCGCATCGCTAGCAACTCAGCAATGAGCACAGAAACGGCAAGGTCATTGGCGCAGAATGCAGGTCAGATGCTAGCCATTGCAGGCGGCAACAGCCGTATGCTAGCTTTGTTCGGAGCAGGTGTCCGACCTTGGCGAAACACGAACTACAGTGCAGAGCTTGAGAAGAGTTCATTGCCTGTTCCGTTTCTGTCTTTGGCTTGTTCGGAGACGATCCGTTCCAACATGACCCTCATAGACCAAAGACTCTCCGCTATGTCGAAACAGTCAGGATGCAACTCTCCTGAGATCTCATCAGGGCTGTTTTTCAATCTTTCTATTTTTGTTTGACATTTTTATACATTTTTCATAGTTGATCTTTTCATATCCTTTCATACCTTTTCTCAGAAAATCTCAACTGGTCAAATCAGGCAGGCTCGTGGCAGGCTTCGACTGTACATATTTGTGTCAGGCTACGCAGCAACATGTCGACATCAATGGCCAGGTGACACTGGTGGGCGGCGCGTGGACACCTGGAAGTTCCCCTGCAGAGCAAGCTTCTGCAGAAATTGGTGGTTCCGTTGATGTGTGCGCTATCCGGAAAGCAACAGACATGCAACTTTGAAATAGTTTCTCAATCGTTTATGTTTGAATGTTGTTGATGATTTTTTGTATGTAGCATTGTGTAGCCATGAAGGTATGAATTGAATTGATTTTTTTTGATAATTTGTTGGCTACCTACCTTTGGGAGACTTTTGGTATCGTGGGCAGATGAGGATGCAAATTCTTTGTTGGGATCCAATGGCGGAAACGCAAATGGTCTTGCCTGCCGCAGAGCTCCCGTTGCATTGTGCAGACATAGATGCCAAAGCAGTTCTCAGGATTGTAGACGCCTTCATGATTCAGGCTCACCACTTTGTGAGAGCTTTGGTCTTTGACGGAGCGACTCAGCATCAGGCCTTGAGACGCATATGCTACGGCAATTTGACGGAGCAAGACAAACAGTTGCTTCAGGATCCCGCTTTGCGCTTTTTTTCGCGCCTGGCGCACACGCCTCTACCAGAGCATGACCTGCCAAGACTGCCCATCCGAGTGCCTTCTTTTGAGGGCGAGCCATTCTTTTGTTTGGGTGGACCGTGTGCCTTTACAAGATTCAGCAAGGATTCTTTCTTTCATTTTCTTTTATTTTCTATATATTTTAATATATTTTATATTTTTGGTTGGGAGCTCGCAGAGAGTTGCCAACTAATCCCAAAAGTTGCCTGAGGCCACGCCACGAAGAATACGGGTGGTCAGGTGACATCCCCATGTCGGACCGTTCACATGGGAAGATACTGGGTGGACATGAGTGGAGCTCTACTACTCGGGCTCCCCGGCACAGCATACACCCGGAAAGACCCGCAATCAGACGCGCTACATGCTCTTCTTTGCTCGCCGTGGTTCTACACGGCAACTCCAGATGCAGAGTTGCCTTTGATGCGAGTTTGCTGGTCAACCAGAGGGGCTCTCCTCTGGAGCCTTTGCTCTGCCATGTGCTTTTCACCAACGATGCACAAATCAATGACGTTGGTTGAAAGATTGGAAAGCTGCGTCTCCGGCTTTGTTGCCTGGGACTTGTTCCAGCTGGTCTCGGCCAAGATGGAATCAGACCGTGGCGCTCGTGTGGGGTCAATGGGCATGGCCCCAGTGACTCTGTTCAACCTGCAGAATGTCAGCTTGTCCACCATTGTCATGCTGGTCCATCGAGAGGTAGCAAGGTTGCATAAGGTATCATAAGGTTGACAACAAGTTTTGGATTGTTTTGGGTCTATGAAATCATTAGACCCAACCCTCCCCAGCACCATGAACTCTGTTCCAAGATTATGATACTCAGGGGGTTAGGTTCTGTCATTTCATAGGGTCTACCTCTGACGTCCCTTTACTGTATGTGCTTGATCGTGTTGGATTTTTCATGATTTTTCACATGGCTTTCTACTTTTCTCCAACGGTTTTCAGCTAAGGCAGATTTTGTTCCATGGAAGTATGGAACGGGACGGGTAACAGAACTCAGTGTGGAACAGCGATTTGGAGCTCTTCGCATGGCTCACACCAACGCTGAGCTTACCGTGGAATCTTTCTGCAGGACAAGCGCCATGCAAATGTTGAAAGGTGCCTCCATGTACGCAGGGTGTGAGAACTCTAGCAAGATCAAAGAGGGACAGATCACTGACAAGATGCCCCGAGATGGCAATCAGAAATAATATTATGTTTGTTTATGTTTCTTATATTTTGATTGAAAGATGTAGCATGAAATATGAACCAAACCTGGGAAGCCGTGTCCGTAGAATCTTCAGTCCTTGGATTCCAGTGGCCCAGGTTCGGGCAGGCCTGTGCTCGAGCATACCAGTCTGCTATTGACCTTGTTTTGTGGGCCAGTGGCTATGATTCCAAAAGCCTAAAGGCATACTACGAGCAGAGCTGCGACGTGGCATGGTTTGAGACGACCTTGCAGGCAGCCCCAGAATTTGATGACGACGATGAGGAGGACGATGATCAAGCGAACATAGCGCAGCCATCACAGAGCCCTGAAAATATTGAGATACTTTTGAAGGTTTTGAACTTTGAACGATACCAGATGCCATGATGCCTTCTTCATCCTTCTTCAGAGTTTCCATTTTTCTTCAAGCGCACACATATGGTCTGTACTTTTGGTGTTCTGCCCACACAAGGAATGCATCGTCTGCCTTCCCAGCTCTTTTGAAAGACATTGGCAGTATGTTGGATGAGAACCAAGAGGCTGTGGTGGACGTGGAGTCCAATGAGCACAAGATCGATTTGGCCCGCCTTGATCATAGCGAGCAATCCGAGGTGCTTGAGGCGATGGGCAAGCCAGCAGATGACGCGCGGGAAGGCGTTCCCAAAGGCATACCCAAAGGCTGTCCGCGAACGTTGGCAGAAGCTATGTGACTCGTTTTCTCAATTTTAAGATTTTTGGTTTGTTGTTTTTTTGTTTTGTTTATTTTTGTGGAGTCCTGGATGCTGTTCAAAGCGCTCAAACACCCTGAATATGTCTTAAAGTCCCTTAGTTGTCATATGTTGTCATATATTTTCATACGTTCATGCAAGATGAACAGACTCAGACTAATGAGTTGAGGCATTGTGGAGGAGAGCGGTGGAACGCGTTACTACGATATTGAATATTTCTGCGTGCTGAGCCGGATGGATGTGACACCAAGTGGATCCAGAAGAGGGGTCGGAAAGGCCTGAACTGGTATCAACATAACTGTCATGAACTTGCCCAGGTTGCCTTGAGGCAAAACCCTACTCAGCGACAGGGATCACGGAGTAGCAGGTTTGCTCGCTGGATTCAACAAGGAGAGACGCAGAGACAGAAAGTGTCTTTGGAGCTCACCCAACCTCACCAGCTAGCGTGTCTCAGCAATTATATGCATCGCAGACTCATATGTTTTGGAGTCCTTTTGTTTTTTTTAACATTTGACTATATTTGACTAATTCCTGCTTGATATATGTTCGCACACCTGTGAAATGTTTCTAGATGCTTTAGATTCATCTAGTGAGGTCTGGAAATATCGTCATCATTGTGCGCAACAACGGAACCATGTTCATTGGCCTCGTGCTCTCTGTTTGGAAGACTGGCAAGAAGAAGAGGCTCTCTCCAACTCCGTGTGCACTCGAGGGATGCTATGGTTTCCGCGCAGTGGAGTTGACTCAGGTTGAGGACGGATGGATTCTTTTTTGTATATTATAGACATTTATAGACATTGGGATTTTCCATGTTTTTCCTGTTGGACCAAACATTATTTTTGTTTTTTTTGCTTACACTTGAGCTTTGAATTCTGCAGGGCAGAAAAAGAGAGTTCACGTGCAATGCGGCCAGCACTTGTGATGTTTTTCCCTTTGACGCACTACTGGCCGTGCTGGATTGTGAGCCGGAGAGCAACCCGGACAAGATCAAATCATTGGTTTATATATATATATTTGTATTTTGTCTATAAATGTTTATAATATCTTCAATACGTTTATTACATTTTATTACTATGGTAGTTCATCTCTAGTTTTAGTACAGCTCATAGATGTGGATAGATTTTTGGCTCTATAAAATGACCAGGCTCATCCACAAGGTTCCTATATACTAGAATGAGGATGCCTGCCCCAGAAAAGGTCAAACAGTTTTATGATGTTTTATGGAAATGGCACTATATGGACTGCTAGTGGGTCAGGTTGTGTCATTTCATAGGCTGACATGATTTCAATTTTGTAGTCGACGCCTGCACATACCTGCAAGATCCTGCAAGTATACCTGCACCATCCTGCACCTGTGAGGCAAAAGGCCCAAAACGGACCTGATGGATGCTTTCTACGTGGAGCTTACAGAAGCCTCTTTGGCTGCAGCGAGGGATGCACGCCAGCAGCAGGCCAACGGTTGGCGCACAGGTGCAGTATCTTCCACTGGAAGAATCCGTCGCAGAAGATTCTTCAAGAGCGTTGCCAAAGCGGTCAAGTCGATCAAGCAGAAGAAGAGCAGCGCCAAGACTTCCGCCAAGACTTCGAAGGTGAAGAAAGTCCCTGGGCGATTGAAGGCATCAAAGCCACAGATTGAACCCATTGCCAGCAACTTCCGGAGATCAGTGCGAGGGGCTGAGCTGATCAAGCAGCAGATGCAGACGCTGCTGTCGCTTGACAAGGTAGCTCACCCCAAGTATCCAGCCTTTGATGCTGAGTCTGGTCTTTGTAGATTGAAGTGTCCCGCAATATATTGGTATTTTTTTGTACGCGCTTTTTGTATCTTTTTGTATCTTTTTGTTGATCTTGTCCTGATATTTATATTTTTTAAAACTTTTCATAACTTTTCTGTACTAGTCATTTTTTTAGATATCAAATGATATCAACAAATTCCATAAGTTTGAGGCTGCCAATGGCATCTGGCAAGACCTGGGCAATGATTCTGGAGGCCAGTCCGGGATACTTCAACAATAGATATCAAAGCCGCTCCCGAGATCTGTGGGGTGACCGTGTGAGTCAGCACATCGAGCTCATTCGGAAGCAGCTGCAGCGTTCTCCGCCTGTCCGGTCTGCTTGGCTTCGTACGCTGAGGGAGATTTGTGAGCTTGTCTGATCAGCTCATCAGGTGCGTGATGACACTAGCGTGAATAAATGAATTCATGCGCTGAGGGATATTTGCTGAGGGTTTTGAGTCTCAGGGTGCACTGTCAACATGGCCCCACATGGCCGCAGCACTTGGGATCTCACCTAACTTATGCAAATAGATGCAAATAGTCTACGGCCTGTTCCACCGCACAGGATCCTAGATATCAGAATTATTTAGAATATTTTAGATTACATCAGATACATTGGATAGTTTTTTTGTGTTGATAATCTAATCTATGTTAAGATGACCAATGATTTGTTGATATTTGTTGGGGTCTTTTTGGAGCCTGCTAGAGGAACTTTTGGCCTTCAGTTAGGGGAATGTGAACCAGAGACAACAGAGCGCGAGAGCAGGTTGAGTGAAAAGGATTGATGCGTCATGGCGTGAGCTTGCTTTGTCTATCTTTGTCTTACGTTTCCTTTGCTGTTTCTTTCTTTGTCTTATGATGTCTTATGTGATCTTGTTATATCTTGTGATGATATGTTATGTGATGTTTATAAGGAAGATATGGACAGGAAACCAAGGACCAGCAGGGTCATTTTATACAAATTGCTGTTTTGAGGGCCTATGTCTGGCCTAGTCATTTCATAGAGAAAATCTATGAAATATGGCAGCCAGTGGGTTGGGTCCACCATTTCATGTCTATAGAATGGAACCGCAGGACCCCCCCAGTGATTCTGGCAGGGGGATTCAAAAATCGTCTGGATGTTGCGTTTCCATTGGGGTTAGATGCAAGATGGCAATATAACTGGAAGAGCATTAGGTCAACAACATTGTTTGGATGCTGCATTTGCATTGGGGTTAGATGCAAGATGTCACCCTCATTGGAAGATAAGCGTTGGAGCGTCAGTTCAACACCATTGTTTGGGTACATGGGGCGTGAGTACATGGGGCGTGGGTACATGGGTGCATGGGACTCGCGCGGCACTCGCGACAGGGTCGAAAAGACTCGCGTGGCACTCGTGCCAGCCGCTGCCAGCCTCACCATGTTTCCTTTAGTGATCTTTTCCACATGAAGGTCATCAATGCACAGCTCTTGAAGAGCAAAGCAAGCAGGGCAGCATGCTGCATCTATGTTTAGGGGGTAATCTTCACGATAGTGCTAACCTTGCGTTCTGATTGGGGTTCGGTCACCAAAACGCTGCAAACTTCGACACAAACTAGTTCTTTCCTGCACAGGGGCAGTGAATTCTTGATGTATAGCAGTTTTGACGAACATACTTCCGTAGAGCGTTTACATTGTGTTTTAACATAAAACGGGTGACTTTTCGCGAGCCGGGTGACTTTTGACCAATGCTGCGTTTCCATGCGGCCGGGTGACTTTCTGCAAACCCGGGTGACTAAACCCCAGCGCTAGTATACAAGCGACAGGTTGAAGTCAAGAGCATGTGTGCAAAAGAAGAACTCCGGAAAATTGAAGGAGTTGAACTTGCCAATTCACGTTGGTGACATGGCAAAAAGAGATGAACTCGATCGAAGATTGACAAACAATTTTTTAAATTCATCATGATTGAGACTGTTGACCGTTCACCGAAAGAGGAGTAACAATAGTGGAATTTTACCAGGCAAATCTGGGCACAAAAGGATCGTAGTCTGCTTGGCATTTTTGTAAGTTCAAGTGTTCGAGGAAGGTTTTTGGACTTTGGACGTTTTTTTGTTTTTTGCACTTTTCAGCAATTTTTCCGCTGCGCCTCAACTCTCAGGCTTTGTAAGAAATAGACCAACCAGAACCATCACGAGTAAATAGTGTGACAGTTTTCATCGAACACCAGTATAGCCGGCTTCATTACATGTATCTGAAGTCCTGTGTTGACTTTTGAAGTTGATGAACTTTTGAACAGAACTGGGTACAGCCAGCCCATGGCGCCTACAGCTCAGTTTTGATGTGTGCAGATCCATAACCCTTCCGATTGAAGTCGCTTTGGCAGTTTCATGATGAGGAACATTTATTGCAGTTTGTGTGATTGTTGAAGTAGTCTCCACGCTTCCGCTTTCGAAGTTCGCGGTTCCCAACCTGTGTTCAAGTTAAGTTCCACGCAAAAGAATAGGAACCAAATTAATCATGCGAATCCTGAATTCTTCTATGTCCGAACCTAGTTGTTTCCGATCGCTTCTAGCTACTTAGCTACTTCCTGTTGGTCGGCCTACCCCAGTAGTAGATCAAGTTTTCCTAAAAATCTAGGAACCAGATCATTAGCGTGAAATCCTGCATCTTAGCTAGGAGCTTCCTATTGCATACTAGTAGCTTACCTTCTTACTGAATTAAGTAGGCGCCTACTGAATTAAGAAGTGGCCACGGGCTAAAAAGACACCTACTAGCGATGGCCTCCAGCCCAATAGCGATGGCCTCCAATCTACTAACAATGGCCTCCAACCTAAGAGCAACGGCCTCCAGCCCAATAGCGATGGCCTCCAATCTACTAACAATGGCCTTCAGCCTAAGAGCAATGGCCTCCACCCTAGTAGCGATGGCCTCCAGCCTAATAGCAGTGGCCTCCAGCCTAAGAGCAATGGCCTCCAGCCTAATAACAGTGGCCTCCAACCCAATAGCGGTTGCTTTCAACACTGGATATATAAAACATCCAGTCTTCGACTCAAAGCTTCCAGTCTTCGAGGCTCACAACTTCCAGTTCAGGTGGGGGAGGCGTGATTCTGTACACCTCCATGGGGGAAATTGAGGCTGGACCGGCCCTGCTGTTGCATGCTGAAAAGCAGTGAATGTTGATTCAACTGCAGGTGTTCCCAATGAAAAGGCTTCTGTTCTTGATTGTACTGAAAGGTGGAACTCTACTGGAATCATGCGCCCAAGACCTGTCGCACAGCAAGCATTCAACAGTACACGCGAGACTTTGTGGAGTTAGTAAGTAGAGCTTGTTACTAGTAGCTTCTTGTTACTACTAGTAAGGCACCTGTTACTACTAGCGTGGCACTTGTTCCTAATAGCTTCTTGTTACTACTAGTAAGGCACCTGTTACTACTAGCGTGGCACCTGTTCCTAATAGCTTCTTGTTACTACTAGTAAGGCACCTGTTACTACTAGCGTGGCACCTGTTACTTCTTTTGGAACCAAGGCATGAACTTCTTGGAACTCGCAAAAAGAAGCTACTATGCTTCTGCCTCAGAGCAAAATAATGTCTAATGAAACCTCAGAGACACAGACAGCACAATGTCAGGCAATATGTAGCATGTCCAGTGTGATGGTAAGTTTCAAAAGCTTTCTTGGCAGGATAACACGTTGTTCCACCGCATTGTGAGCAACTTTGTCATTCAGGTGCTGTATTTTTCACTTTGTTAGGGCATCGCTACTAGTAACAAGGGCATCGCTACTAGGAGCAAGGACGCTACTAGTAGCTCCTGGCCATACTACTAGGAACAAGAAGCTTTGCCTTTTTGCTTGACCAGGGTGGTGACCCAACGGGCACTGGCAGAGGGGGTGAATCGATATATGGCCAAACCTTCGAGGATGAGATTCATCCAGGCGAGGGTCAGCTGGCCGGCAACTACTAGCTTCTTGTTACTACTAGTAAGGCACTTGTTGCTAGTAGCGATGCACTTGTTACTAGTAGCTTCTTGTTTCTAATTTGCAAAGCAATCAACCTGAATTAGGAGGCCATTGCTCTTAGGTTGGAGTCCATCGCTGGTTGAAGACCATCGCTATTAGATTGGCGGCCATCGCTATTTGGTTTCAGCTCAAGGGCAGAAGTATGTGTAGTTCAAGAAAAGGTGGAAAAGATTTACCAATGATTCTGGGGGTCGTAGGGGCATACTGCCTTACCTTGGAGGCATGCATGCAAGTTACATCATTTTTGCTTTGACATCTAGTTGCTGCTGGACAAAACATGTTGAAAACGTTTGTGGAGCATATCTCAGCGCTGAAACTATGTGTTTGTGACCAGCTGCTTCAGTATTGCTCTCCTTGTTGGTGGTCCTGACCTTACCATAGTTATCGAAATCCTAGATATATTTTGTGATCCTGATAGCTATTGTTCTTGTTGCTGTTCCTGATGGAGCCCCTGCTGCGTTGAGGTTGTTGGGAAGTTGCAACGCTAAGATTGTAGGAAACCTGTACATGTGGGACTGTGGAATAGAATGTTGATTCAGTCAACGCAATGTCGTCAGAATCTCTTTCAGTAGAGGCTTGAAGCATGTCGGAGCTGGCATCCTGTCTATGGCGTTCAGACCACAGATGGGTAGCCATTTTGCGTGTTGTGATCCGATGTTTCAGTTATTTCCCCTTTTGAGGAACTCTGGGCCAGACAGCAACGGCGGGGTTCTTAAAGTTGAGAGAGTACCCGGACAAAGTGTGTGTTCCCTCGCTGCAGGTTCTCAGTTCTTTATCACTTTAGGGTGTGGACCACAGTTTTCGATTGTTTCCGACAAACACGAGCAAACTTGGTTCTTTCTTGAGCAAACCTAATTTGCATTCTTGTGCACTTGCCATTGCCTTGTCGCTGAAAATTGCGGAGGCCACAGCCTTCCCTTGATGGAAAGCATGCCATTTTTGGTCGAGTCTGTCGAGGAATGAAGGCACGTTGTGAAATCGGTCTTGAATCTTGCTTAATTAGAATGCTGATTGTTGCAAACATTGTGAGAGTTAATTTTTGCTCATTGTTTCAGGTGGTTCAAAAGCTGGGTTCTGTAGCAACTAATGCGCAGGACGCTGCCAAGTTAGATCAACTTTTGTTGGATTCACAGCGCTTTGATCAGGACAAACCAATTCAAGAGGCTCAATCGTTTGTTCTTGTTTGTCGAAGAAGTCTTTTGAGAAACTCTGTTAGAGCCTTTTAAACCAAACCTTTGATACTTCTCTTATGTGCAGGTCAAGATCCTTCGTGCATCCACAGCTTTGGCCGCTGATGCCCACCTAGGATTATGAGAATCAAAACGAGCGGGACGCAAAAACGAGAGCAAAAGTGAGCGCAAGAGAGCAAAAGTGTCCTGGGTGAACTGTCCGGATGCATTGTGGACACACGGTGGACACATCCGGTGCATGTCTCGATTGCGCAGCGCTGCAACGAGGAGGTTCTGAACATTTGCCTAGAATATATGTAGTACAGCTACTGTCTCAATGTGCTACTCCTGAAGCAATTCATCTCAAAGGGACTTGAAACAGGTAGAACTAGTAGCTTCTTGCTACTAGTAGCGATGCACTTGTTACTAGTAGTAAGGCACCTTGTTACTACTAGAAGGCCAGTCTTCTTGACACTTTCCCAATTTCCTGCCATGCCGGGCACGCGTGATGTTGAGCCCGACACTCACACGTGAGTGGCTGACATCAAGTAGAGTTGTTTCGTGAACTTGAGTAGTCAATTTAAACATTGAACAAGGAACAAGGACGCTACTAGGGGCTCCTGGCCTTACTACTAGGAACAAGGGCCTCACTACTAGGAGCAAGAAGCTATTAGAAGCAATAATTAGAATAGAATCACAAGTAATTAGAATAGAAATTATAACTAAAAGTAATTAGTCAAGTAGTCCTCATTGTTTTCTTCAAAATCTCTGCAAGGTTGCCCAAAGAATGGTTTGAGGAGGTGGGAGAAGTGAGGGAATGTGCGTGTGGCAATGCTTGTGGCAACACGCAATGCGTGGTGATCTTTTTCCTGAGGTTTTTGGTGTACCTGAGGGTAAATACAGGGAGATGCGAGATGACTTTGAAGCAGCGGCAGGTGCTGGAAAGAATTGATGAGATTGAAGGATAGGATTGAAGGGTTAGATAGTCTGCTTGTTGAGTACGGTCTTTCCAGACTTGGATTGAAGCCCAAACTCTGCAGGGTTGCTCATTTGCAAAAGTACGGGAAAGATGTTCCAGGTGCGCAAAGACCGATTTCTGGTGCGATGTTCCATTTTTTTGTTAATTGATTGACTGCATGACGTGGCAAATTGCACTCCACAAAGTCCTTCGGAGCCAACCAAAAGGCTGGGACTTTGCGGACTCCAACCTTGGCCGAGTTGAGAAGCCAGCTAGATACAGCCAGACAGGACGCCAGTTGAGAAGGCTATTAGAGGCCATCGCATGACGCACGATGAAACTTTACATTTGATGATAGCAGGAAGGTGATGGTGGCTATTACAATGCTGGCGCCAGAGCCCCGCCATCATCTTGCGCCACAACTATCAGAATGTGTTTTCTGGCAGTGTTCATTTCAGAATGTGTCTGACCTTTTCCAATGCCGTGTTTGTCTGTTAGTGTTGCTATGTTTGAGGAATTTCCGAGGTCTTGAGATTTACGAATTTGACGAGCGATTCATTGAGCCTTTACCAAGACTCACGCAACGCTGGGGCTGTTTTCCAGGCCGAAACCTGAAAGGGCACAAGCAAAGCCTATTCGCACGGCGCTACGCAGGTTTGCTCCTTGTTCAACTGCTTGGAGACTGTGGATGGTTACCACCCAGAGGCGGGTCTTGTTGGAGCAAATTAGGCAGACGTGCAATTGCAAAGCAATTGCAAGCTGCCATGAAGAGCTCAAGAAACAACGATTCCATTGCCAGGATGGCATCACCCATTATTGCTCCAAGGACTCTGACGTGTGATCATTGAAAAGCATACATGATTGTAGCTGCTTGAGAGTGTTTTTGTAGCATTAGCATTCCTATGCTTCTTAACCTGCAGCTCATCATGATTGTGATGAGGCTACGCAAGGAGCTGTCTCATCAATTGCGTGTCCTGCAGCAGCATTCTTCAGGTGCCCTGCTTTGGCTTTACTGTGCTGTTTGTGATCGTAGTGTGAGATTTGATTGAGGTGTACCGCTCTGGACATGTGTTCTACCCCTGTGTTCTAGCAGTGACTTTCACATTGATGGCCTTTTGTTGTGTATTTGGCTAGCAGCTTCTTCGACGTTCTGCATCTGGTATTCCCAATTCTGCATTCCCGTTCCAGCTTTCCGGTTTGGCAACTCTACCTATGTTTGCCACTTGAGCTCTTTTTTCATTCTCTTAGTCTCCATGTGTGGAGTGCAGTCTGGTTGGCTTGTTTTTTGAACTCCTTCCTATGCTGTTTTGGTCCACTGCAGCAAGCTCTTTGTGTTTGCTTCAAGTCATGTATTTCAGTTATATAGTGGCCTTTTTCTTTTTTTGGGCTTGAAGCATGTATGCATTATGTGTGGATGTATTGTACTTTGTGCATTCCTGATTGTGCTTTGGCCGTTGGGCATTGTGGACTCCAGGAATTACTTTGTCCACACCACTGGTCAGGGTGTTGGAAGCCCGGCTTTTGACACTCAAAGCCACCCAGTTCCAGTTGACTGGTCCCAGGCTGGTGGCAGACCAGTTGACTTGTTGGAGGAGCTGGCAAACGTTGTGCAGAACCACAAGAACGGCCACTTGTTGGAGAATCGAACATGCCAAAAATTAGCAAAGCTTAAAGGCAAGTTGTGCAGAAAGCCAAGTTTGTTCTGGCCGAGAACAAGCTACTAGGTGGAGGACATCGCTGTTAGATAAACACGAAAGAAGAGGCTGTCTTACGGATCGTGTTTAGCGTGCTCTGCTGCTGCGCCGTGGGTGCAAGAGGAACAATTTATTGTGCCCAGGTGCATGCTGGGCGTCTTAAGAGAAAGGGCACCATGGGGGATGGAGTTTTGAAAGATGTGATTTTATGTTGAGAGATGTAGCTGTGACAGTTTGCTTTACAATGCTTTTAGATTTTAAGTCAAGTGAAGAAGGATATGAATTTGAGTTTTGTGAGGCGTAATTAATGTATGGAGATGTGGACAAGTTTGTGTTTTCATTATTTTGTAAGTTTGAAGACCAGTGGAGAAGGATATGATTTTGTGACTTTGTAAAGTATGGACCTGTGAAAAGTTTGCTTTTGCCAAATAGCTTGCCTATCCATACCTATTAGCCTATTGTTAGTAGTAAAAGAAACTCACTGCATTTCCTTACGGCTGCTACTTCAATGACCAGGAAACAAAACATTAATAGTAGCAAGGACGCTACTAGTAGATCCTGGCCTTACTACTAGTAACAAGAAGCTACTAGTAGCTCCTGGCCTTTACTACTAGTAACAAGAAGCTACTAGGGGCTCCTGGCCTCACTACTAGTAGCAAGGACGCTACTAGTAGCTCCTGGCCGTACTACTAGTAGCAAGAAGTTACTAGGAGCAAGGGCATCGTTACTAGTAACAAGGGCATCGCTATTATGTTCATTGATGTTAAACCGATTTTAACAGGGACTTGGATGGCTAACTGATTGCAAAACCATTCCTGGTTCTTTTTAGACTGGTTGACACAAAGGAACACTAAGTTCAATAAACAACTTGTTTCATTTAAACACAATTTCATTTGGAGAAAACATTGAACATTGAAGACCATTGAACATCAATAGTTTCACCTATTGAGTGCAATATAATTTCAAGACTTGTTAATTGGAATCACAGTAAACACCATATGCTAATTGATGTTTTGCAATGTTTCTGTAAGGGTTTTCATAACCATCAATATTTCAGTGATATTAAAACGGTTATCAAAGGAACTTGAATTGGCACATGTTCTATAGATGTGGACTAGGAACAAGAACCTACTAGGAGCAAAGGGCATCGCTACTAGTTAATGTATTTTTTGCAATTTTTGGAGTGATATTCAGGCTGTTGATTAGCTGATTACATTGAAAGCCGTTTTTTACCATGTACCACTCCATCCCCCATCGTGCCCCCTTCTGCCTTTAAATACTTGATTGAGCACAGCATGTCTTGGGTGAGTTCAGCCAACGCTGGCTTTTTTACTGCACCTCCATCGTGCCAGTGTCCTGGTCGAACTTCTCAGAACTAGAACTACGTTTCTTTTTTATCGAATTTGACTTGTTGCGAGCAACTCTTGGCTTGAATTATGCCGGCGCTTTGCATGAGTTGTGTAGTGGGTTTAATCGACTTTCCAGATCAAGAATCGCAATGCACAACATGTTGCTATTTGATGCGTCATTGTTAGCAGCTCTGGTTCAGCCAAGTGAAGGCCACATCGAAGATGTCTTGGTGAAAAGAGCTTGGTTTTGTTTCAGGTTTGTAAAAAACGTGGGTTGAGCATCTGGGCCTTTTTAGGAGCTCATAAGATTTCAAGTCAGAAAATGCAGAACCAAAACGTATCTCTTTAACCGTGATTTGAGTCTAAAGGTTTGTCACAATGCTTGATTGCTTGATGTGCCTATCAATTCTTTGTTGTGTCACATCTGTCCTTCATACCCAGTTATTGTAAGGGCTACTGCTACGTGCAGCACGATCACCAACTCCACCCATGGCACGCCCCGAGTGCCCTCAAAAACACTTTTGTTAGGTACACACGTGCCAGCGCGGTGCAGGCCCAATAATGGCGATGGCCTCCAACCTACTAGCGATGGCCTCCTTCTTGTCAACCAAACGTTGCAAAACAAAAGAACCTTTTTGTGTGCTTTTTGACGCTTCGATGGCATAGGTGGCCAATGCATTGCTGGAGGTAGTACTTTGACTCGGCCTACTCCTGCCTAGTCTGGACCGACTGCACCGCTCTGTTCCATCGGCGTCAAACGCAGAAAGACGTTCCATTGCTTTCAGCTCCAGCGGTGCAAAGGGCATCGCTACGAATGGAGCGATCGGACGCTACTAGGGGCTCCTGGCCGTACTACTAGGAGCATCCTTACTACTAGTAACAAGAAGCTACTAGGGGCTCCTGGCATCGCTACTAGGAGCAAGGACACTACTAGGGGCGCTCCCTGGCCTTACTAGTAGTAACATGAAGCTACTAGTAGCTAGCTGCTGCTAGTAGCGATGGCCTCCACATACTAGCGTCCCTGCTCCTGATTAATATCTGCGTTGAGCTAAGCTGGGTAAGCTTTCACGGCCATAGTGAGTGTTCCACATCCCACTCTCGTTTTTCTTGTCTCCCCTCGTGTCTGCCTGTGCGATCGGCGTTTTGTCTACGCTACTGCTGTGGACTTTGTCTCAGTCG